TACTGGTCAGTTTTGGAATAGCACTGATGAGATCAGTCCTGGATGAGTTGCCATTAGTGATCCTTTCAAACAAGTTAAAGGCACTTTGATCCAACTCAGGCTTGATGTAGTGATAGGATTCATACACATCTTTGATGGTATCAGCAAAACTACACAACATGTCTTCATAAGAATCTGAAGATAGACCCTGTTTAAAAAGGACACTCATTACAATCAGATTCAAGATTAAAGTATAGTAATAGGGAGTCATATATAGGCTTACATTGAGAGATACATGAATAACAGGGAACTTTGCAAAACACTCCTTAAAGAATTCTTTTTCTCCACTTATCTTCAAGTCTTTAAATATGTTGAATCTCAGGGTCAAATCTTCATCAGGTCTGGGTGTCTGAAAGAAATACTCAATCATTGATAGTAGCATTGATTTCCCAAATTGACGTGGACGGAGAATGAGACTGGCAATGTCTCCATCATCAAAGAGCTTCTTGCAATAGATTGACTTGTCCAGAAAGAAATAGTCCTGTTTCTTAAACTCAAGAAAGTTCTCAAAGCCCTTTCCCACACTTTTACCACTAATAGAGGGGCCTACCAAAACAAGCTATGAGTATAAGAATATAATGAGGGGATATTAATATTGTATAATAACTTACGTGTGGCAACATCTTGTAATTGAATTTGGTCAACTTTGCTTTCAATGTTACTATGCCACATATTGGCATTAAACTCAAGCTGAGCTATTGGGTTGAGAAGTAAGATGTGCTTGACATTAGCAAAAGATCCTCATGATAATGAAGAGTATGAATAGGAAAAACATGTGTGACCAGAGTGGATATCGAACATTCACAAAAGTAAATCATCCATTGCTCAGACGCCCAACTACTTTTCATGTGATCCTATTACTATTCACCAGGTTCAGCATTACCAAATGGTGTGTAGACATATACTCTGTTCTCTTCCAACATATCCATAAAATTCTCAATTATTTGACTGTTATCAAGTATTGCAATGTCATTAGAGGATTCAAAAGGCGCAGTTGAAAGGGTGAGGTCACTTGGTCTGCAGCTCGGAAGCCTATCTGATATGCTGTTTATGATGGCCTCCTTGAGTTGGCTGACACGGCTGCTAAGTGGCAATTGGACCCCACTACGAATCCCCTTGCTCACAAATGTGTAAGAAAGCCATATCTCTTGAGGAGGCACTGCATCAGCAATATGCCAGAAATTATATCAAATGCAACAAGATAAATAGCAAAAAGAAGGGCAAGAGTTAGAGTCAATAAATTTCATGTCTGCTACGCTCTATACTCTACCGAGTCACGATTGCACATTTCTACGCTCTGCTCACACCCCAACACCGAGTCACGAAATCGTCATAATGCAGTACTACTCCACCTTACGTACACATTACTCCACACCCCAATGCCCGAGCCACAAAGTCGTTACCTTGGACTGCCAGGAGGAATGTCCTGAGGGCAGCCCTAAGTACACACTACTCTATGTCCCCAACGAGTCACAAATCGTTACTATTACCTGGTTGAGAGGTAACGCGCAGCATGGCTGCCAACGTACTCTCCCATGTATTTCTTCTTTTTTCCAACTCCTTTTTCTCGTCTTCAAGATCCTT